ATTTATGAAGCACTCTTAAAACATTACAAACAATTACAACATTAAATAAAATGATAAATAATAGCACCATGACATAATGTAATATAATTAATAACACCATGACACACACAATGACAGACATGAGCAGTTTGCAGTTAGTTAACCTGTTAAACCAAATGCTAATGCAAGTAAATGTAATTTCATATTTCATTTAAAATAGTCTAGAGCTTCGAAGCCCCCACTGCAAATACCAAGTCACAACTTAATTTCAATCTTGTCCTAGAAATGTCTAAAGTCAACTGACTTTCTGACCTGAGAGTCCTAGTGGTTTATGTATGTGACGAAGATGCACTAAATACGCAGGTGCCAAGTTATGTAATGCTTATACAAGATTCAACCATTTAAAATCAATTGAATTGGCAACCAATGCAGTGAGGCTAAAAGAAACGTTACATGCTGTTTCTTACGAATACCTGTCAAAAGTCTGGCAGCAGCGTTCTGCGCCAGTTGAAGATGATTTAACAATGATTGGCTAACACCCATACAGTATAAATAATCTTTAAAAAATCCCAAAAAGACAAAAACGGTTTAACCTTTGCAATTGATGTCAGATATAAAAAAAAAAAAAAAAAGATTTGACCACATAATTAATCTGTTTATTAAATTTCAGAGAATTATCAAACTGTACACAAATATTCTTTACCCTTTATATCCACGATTTAACTTTGTGTAAACACTTCAATAATGACTCAACTGAACTCTTAACTTCTTTCCGCAAAGGTACACCTGAGTGTCATCTGCTTAACAATGAAAAGGTAGCATTTATAATGAAAACAGGATTGGGCCAAGAATAGTTCCTTGTGGAACCCCACTAAACAATGGGGCTGTTTTAGAACAATGTTGACCAAAATTAACCCAGTAGCACCTCATTGCAGTACACGAGATCCAGGGGGCGGAGTTGGATCCAGATCTAAGGGGTGGAGATGGGTAGGATTAGGGGTGGGGTTAGGGATCAGGGGGTGGAGATGGGTAGGTTTAGGTATATGTAAGGTGGGAGGAGTTGGATCTGGATCCCCCTGGATTACGTGTTCTGCAGTGAGGACCATCTCAAATTAACTGAGAAAGTCCTATTAAAAGGGAAGGACTTAAGAAGGAAGGCGAGAGACATCAATCGAAATCAAAATTTCCTTTAGAGCTTTCAACAAGGCCGTTTCTGCTGTGATTTGCTTTAAACCCTAAATGAAAATTTTAAAAGTCTGCAATTGACTTAAAGCGACATTTTCTAGGATTTTAGATAAAAATTGTCATTTCGAAATAGGCCGGTAATTAGATAAAATACTTTTCAGAAGGGGCTGTAAAATAGCATGCTTAAAACACATTGGAACTACTGCTGTTGTAAAACTTCTATTAATTAAAGTGGACCAATAGACTTGGACCAATGATATCGAAAGTCTGCTTAACTAATTTTGATGGAACAACATCGCGACAATGTGTAGGTTTCAACTGGCCAACTATCTCAGCTAAAGACTGTAGAGAAATTGATGTCAATTGATCAAACACAGCAGAAATGGTACAAGAAAGCAAGGGGTTCTACAAACCACGTTCAATATGCAACCTGATATCAATTTTCTGAACAAAAAGTTCAACAGATCATCACACACAATAGCAGACAGATCAGGACATGTAACAATTGGATTAATCACTGAGTTAATATTGAATAACTTTAGAATTACCACCACTGTACTTTATGAGTAAATCAGCTAAATAGATTCTTCCCTCTTCCACAGCCAGGGTTCTGATTTGGCCTAACACTCTTAACCCGATGGAATTTAGGACAGAGGAACATACAGAATTAAAAATGTTAAAAGAAAACATTCACATCCAGATGCAGGGAAGTGCTATCAAGAGTAAAGGTAATGTCAGACCCAAAGAATATTTAACTGCTCAGTAGTGGCTTTTTTAAATTCCCAATGGCGAACTGGAGAACATGCATTGCAAATGACACAAGAAATGGTTACAGTACTGGTAATGGGCATATTATTTGAGAGTGCTGAGTTATGAATTTCAACATCCCCAACAGAAAGGCCATAAGTCCAAGGTATGTCCATGATCATGAGTAGGTCCATGTAGATGTTGTGTGAGGTTAAAAAAGTAATAGTCCATAAAACCATTAGCCAGTGAGTTAGATGGACAACAGACATGCACGTTGAAATCTCCCAGAGTTAAAAGTTTATCATATTTTAGACAAATCTCACCTAAAACTCGAGAACTCCTGTATCATAAAAAGCATGGCTAAGAACCTTTAAAGAGGAAGCAATCCTTTTTTTATTTCTCATAATATGCCCATCCTATGGTTTAGACAGCTGGGCTGGAGGCTAAATTACATCAAACATATTATGTTCAATGGCACAAAGTTCAACACTACCTCCTCTATTCTTATTCACAGTCAAAGGAAGAGCAGACATGTGCATGTTTTCATAATCAAAGGCTTAAACCACTACACACTGCTTCTGGTGTTTTTCTTGATCCTGAGACATGTTAGATCATTACACAGATGTTACCACAGTCTTTATCTTCATCTACCACATCCATCCCATCTCAAGGAAACCTGCCCTTGGGGTCCAACTCTAGTTACGGACTGTTTAGGAACAAAGTCCAGGAGCAGCTCTACCAATCTGAAGACTTCTATATCTAATGCTAAACTAGCATCCTAACTGTAAGATAACTGTAAGTTTTTATTTGGCTTGCTATGGGAAATATCTGTCTCAGACATGAATCCTTCTGGCTTTGTGTTCATTGGCAATTATATGAGCATTATGGTTTCAGATTTACCTTTGATCTGCACCTTTGATCTGATACCACCTTTGCCGTGGCATGTTTAACACGTGTTATATGCATTTTGAGCCTTTTGTCAACTTCAGATTTTGAGTTGATTCTTCTGAATGATTATAGTTTGGGCCTGGCAATGATTTTAGCCCATCGGTTGAGATCACTAACTGATGAATTGATAACAGTAAATTACAATGTCATGAGAGTAGCAGCAGGAGAAAGAGCCTGTAATCATTTTTACATCAAACCAAGCATGTGTGCACTACCATGTGAGCTCGATATGCTTTCATAAAACCTATATGTTGCAAAACACTGAAAATGCTTACTCATACTTCAGCCAATCAAGTACAATCTGATAAAACAGCAAGCGCGAGGCTATTTTTAGGTGCATGTGGCTTTCTACGACTCGTTTAGTTGACCATGTGAGAAGTTGTTATCTTTCCATAAAACAAGTTGAGCTGTACAACACAAGGGTATTGTCACAGTCATCGTCTGCACCAGTCTGTCTTTGTCTCTGCACTACACTTCCCAGCATCCCTCATGTTTACACACCTGCCCGTCATCATCGTTGTCACCTGTGTCTTGTTTATCATCATCTGTTTCACCTGTCTTCGCCTCATTATTGTTCATCAGTCTCTGTATTTAGTTTGCTTCAGTTCAGTTTGTCTTTGTCGGTCGTTGTCTTTGTTTAGTTGTGTGAACTGAAGTCCTGGAATGTTTCCCTTCATCTCTTTAAGCTAAATGTGTAAATAAAGCATCTAAATTGAGTTCCTTTCGTCCTCTGTATCCTGCACAACGCCTGACAGGTATAGTGTTGGTTTTTGGGTGGGAGTTGGTTCTGATTATGTTGGGAGAAAGTAAGCAAAACCACTTGTTTGTATACTGGAATTACCCAGATTGACTCATAAACAAATAAAATGCTTATTTAGATATTCACATTCTGTCAGTGTGATCCAAATCATCCTCTGTTTTGGCTGTCTGACTGAAACACCATTCTGTGAAAGAACATCACAGTGTGAACAATAATGTGTGTGTCAATGTCACAATTGACTGCAAAATCTATTTTGGGCTGCATATTAAATGTTAATGCATTTTATGTGAATCTAAATGTCACATGTCAAATTATTTAATTCATTGCAACAATAAGCAGTGCCATTAGATGATAAAATGATCATTCATTAGTCTTTCATTCAGCTCTCTTTATGGATTGCTTGTGTTGCATGAGCTGAATGTTTGATAGGAATAAAAGTCTCTAATTAACAACACTTCATATGGTTACCATTAGAATTATGCACTGTATGAACAACATGAGCCAAACATTGCTATGACATTGAGAGTTTGTTTGTGGGGCTGTTTGGATAGAGGATAGAGGCTCAATGTGTTTCTGCACTGAAGTTTAAATATTAAACCGTTTCTTTTTCTTTTTTCATTGAAGAGCAATAAACAAAATACGTTGCAAAAGCATTATAAGTGAAAGTCTCACAGCTCTTTCCTCCTTCCTTTAATTAAACCTAGTTTGATGAAAGATAGCAGTGGCTCTTTGATAAAGACATACCGGTATGTACATTAAATGCTTACAATTTTACAAACACACACAAATATCCATAAAACATCTAGTCAAGTACTGCAATACAACCTTGTTTCCAGAACATTCTTTTGCTGCATAATTCAATAACATATATGTTTTGGCTTCAGTGTTTATAAGGAAGAAACATTGTGCTTAATAGTTAAGTTCAAAAGTACCCAAAAAAAAGCATGCACATCCCCTAAATTTCACTGTAGGTGAAAAAAAAGGTAAATCATGGAAAAAGGTAGTGTGCATTTTTCTTGATTTACTTTTAATAGTGAAGTTGAAACATTGAAATTACGATAGGATAAATCTCACAAACACCCATCAGTAGCATGTGTAGGTCATATTCACCCAAAATTCAAATAAATAAATTATATTGTCCTAATAGGATTTTTGAATTTAAATGGTAAAATATTTACATATCACAATTGTACATATTGTATTGCCATTCATTTGAGCTTTTATATATTTAAAAAGTCATTGTATTACATTTATACGAATCTAATGACTCAACAACTGAGAACAATTGGAATATTAAGAAAAAAGTTAAACATCCAAACACATCCAAACTAAATTTCACGGAAATTATGAGATACACACAAGGAAATTATGAGATACACACAGACACACACACACACACAGAGACACAAATCATAATAGTCCTAAAATAGGTTTTCTTTATGCAATTTGATTTTAGGGTGAAATATGACCTGGACATGTATGTGAAAGATTCGACTAGTCCAATGCAAAACTATTACCAGTTACCATATGGTGGTCATAAGCTAATAGTTTTCCTCTAAATTCATATTACTGTGATCAGGCATCACATAGATAGACTTGCTCTTCTTCTTGCGGCCTGCGGCGTTCTCTGGCTCAGGTATGGATGATAAAGACAGATAGGCGGCTATGCTGCTCCTCACCCCGTAGCTCATCATGTTATCTTTGCTGTCCACAGTATCCAGTCCGCTTGGGCTCATAAGCTGAGACCTATTCATGTGGAGACATATTCATACACCAATCATTCCCAGCTCACACTGAAGCTCAGCAAGTGGAGGAAATACTTAGCATGATCTAAAAAAGACAGAGACATACTTATTCACTTTCTTCCAATCCAAGTTCCGACGCATTACCACTGGTGGCGCTTCCTGGGTTGAGCTCGGGGCAGGGTTGGATAGAGCCAGACACGGGGCGCTGAGAACACAACATATACCATCTGACGAGTCTGAGGGAAAACCAAAACACATCAGCATGAATGCATCACACACCCATTCTACATTACAAGCAGAGCATGAGCGTTTTGTCTCACCAGAGTAGTGATTGACCATGTCCTCCAGACACTGGAAGGTAAGCCGTGGTGAGATGTAGTACCAGCTATTAGTCAGCCGGAATATCTTATAGTGCTTCACGTTCCTGTGTCTCACTGAGAGAGAATATACACCTGCAGGGAGAAGCAGCCATGACTGCACTTATATGTGTGAGTGTAAACATTTTTGCAATATAAACTTGTGGACGAGAAGAATACATGCAAGACACTTCCAGGTACTTACCTCTCTCTAGCGGACTTTCTCTAATTAGAAATGATCCGACACTGTTACCAGGCAACGACAAAAGCTCTTCTGCCTTCTGTCTGCTAACCCCCTCAAACAGCCATCTTTAGAAACAAGAAATGACAAAGAGGAAATGATGTTACCAATTGAAAATAGTGACTTCCCAATTTAATAAAGAAATGGATTATTTTAGTCCTTATTATATCAGAACTAAGATCAGTGTTTCACAGTTTACATACAATGTGTAATAAAATCTAAATATGTGCACTACCGTTCAAAGGTTTTGACAGTAAATTTGTTTTTTAAGAAAGTAATACTTTATTCAGCAAGGATGCATTCATTTTAAATCATCAAATTAATTAATTAATGCAAATTAATCAAAATGGATAGTAAAGATATTTCTAATGATCATTTCTAAAATGATGATTTCTAAAAAATCAAATGCATCACGGTTTCCACAAAAATATTAAGCAGCACAACTGTTTTCAACATTGATAATAATAAGAAATGTTTCTTGAGCACCAAATCAGCATATTAGAACATTTTTAAATATATTAAAAAAGAAAAAGGTTAATAATATTTGTAATAATAATGTAATAATATTTCACAGTATTAGTGTTTTACTGTATTTTGGATCAAATAAATGCAGCCTCGGTGAGCATTAGAAAACATCTTACCGACCCCAAACTTTTTAAAGGTGCTATATGTATTTTTTAGCGGCCTCTATCGTGATGTTTTAGATCGCAAAAATTTTTTCAAGAGCGCTCGTGCTCTTGCGCGTTCTCGAACACAAGAGCGAGCACTCATGGTACCGGCCACACTGAGACTTTCAACACACCGGAGAAAGCATCACACAACATGCTGGAAACTCATGTAAACTCCCACTGCAATGTTACAATAACAGGCTACTTTTATCAGGTTGACGTTGAACTTGTGTTCCATGCTCGTACCATGATAACGTTACATTGACTGCTTTTAGCCAACATGTGGTGTTAGCATAATAAGGCATTTCACTAACTATTCATGTATCTTTCACAATCAGGCAGCAATCTCAACATAGGTGAATGTATAATATGATAACGAAAACGGTTAGTGAACTAGACTGAACAATTCCAGTGTAACAGTAAGATCGTAGGAAGTAACATTACTGTACTGAACAAGTCTGAAAATTATAAACAATATGATAGTAGTGGGATGAGTGACGTTAGACAGTAGATCTAGTACATAAAATAAAAGTTACATCCTAAAGCACCTACTTTTTGTTATCCTGGAACAGTCTTTTGTATTCATTTCATGTCTCATGTATGTTGTAGTTTACCTTGCCATTTCATTACAGTTTACCATTATTTATTTCAGCATATCTGAAATCTTGTAATTAATCACAATAAAAATAGCAGAGGTCTCTCCATAATTCAAACGCTCTGCCGATGTTGATCCGTGTTTTCGTCCTAAGTCGATCCGATTCACGTTTGGCCTGACGAGCTTCAGCAGATACATTTTTGTTTTGTTTAATTTTTTATATTAATGTGGAGCAGGGCTGCCAACTCTCACGCATTCAGCCTAAGACTCACGCAATTGAGCCAATTCTCACGCTCTCACGCCACACCCCCGATTTCTCACGCTGAAGTGTCAACCCAGTCGGTCAAATGCCTGAAACTAAGATAAGTTTATCTATAGATCTACCAGTTGAGCCATTCGTGATCGACTAGGCTATAGTTTTACCGCAAATTAGTTAAAATATCCTGTAATCTCTAGAGGTAGCGTGCATGCGAGACAGATGTGTTGAGCGCCTAACGGTGCGGTCCTAACCGCGCACGCGCACGACGGCAGAGAGGTAAGCGAGTAAAAGAGCTTTCGTGTAGAGCTTTTTTTGCGTCTAGACTGTAAAAAGGAGAGAGGCTCGGGAGTGTGCATGCACGTCACATCCGATGGATTTCGCAGAAAATCCGACCCGGAGACTTCACATACAAATAGGAATATTGGCCTTCAGAGGTAATAGCAAAACCCGACAAGTGGATCATTGTAATGTGTGATTACAACCCCTTCACACACAGCCAATAAAAAAAGGATTCATTTTAGAAGAAAAGTTACATTTAGCACCTTTAATAGTAGAAAGTTTAGAAAGTGTTGCACTATTAATTGCGCATTCGAAATGTTCTGAAAGAGTTGCAGCAAAATTGTCTCGCATGTCATTGATCATTCAGTAGCCTACGTATTGTATTCTGTCCAGATATTCTGCATTTGGAAATGAATTTCTGGGATCATCATGAAACATACAGTACATAAGTGAGGATAATCAGTCCATAATTACCCATGATAAACCTTTGCCACATGATTACTTGGAATGTAATTCTCAGTTCCTGTTTGAAGAGAACGCACTTTCCACCAGCAACCATCTCTGTAAAGCATTCATTGACGTGTACATTAAAAGACATTTTTTTAGATTGTATGCGTTTACATAAACTATACAGTATATGTATATGCACATGAACGTTAAAATAAAAAAATGCATTTCATAAGGTGCTGATGTATTATATATTACAGGTGTTTGTTGTCAGATAGCATGAAACACATTATATTTCTTTAAAAGAACACTTACTCTGAAAGACCTTTGAGTCTGTCCCCGATCTTAAAGATAGGTTCACTTATGTCACGACATGGATAATCAGCAAGCACCACAAGACTGTCGCAGTCTGTAAACAATATGAGTTATGTCAAAGACTCACATTAAAACATATTTAGGTATACAGCAATAGCTTACCTTTAAACATGGTGTCAATGCTGCTAGGCTCTGGGTTTGACTTTTCCTGCCTCATCACATTGCCCATGATGGCAGGTTATAGAGCCCACAGCTCTACAGATGCTGAAATCTTAAATGAATATTTCATGTTTATACAATGGAGAGTTTGAGCTTCCCATTTGATAGTCAACAGCTAAGTTAACGAAACAGCCGGTTTAATTTTGCAACTTCCTCTCAACTAATGTGTTATCGCTGTCAAAAAATAGAACGGGGAAGCTGCGGAGAGTGCAGGTCTAACACTATTTCCCACAAAATATTTAACTCATTTTTCTACAGTGCAACCAAACGTTGCGAGTCACAAATGCTCCATTCCTAGATTGACCTGTTTACTCGAGACTCGTCACTTAAAAGGCCATTTTACATTATGGGCCCTTTAACCATCCTCAAAATGAATGCTGAATTTTGACATAAAAACATCGAAGTGGTATGTTCACGATCTTTATTGCTCACTTATTTTTATTGAAAATATGATTTACAGGGGGAGGTTACTGTAGGTAAATAAATCTCAATGGATAACACTTGAAACTCTTTCGTTTTCCAGTGAAACAGCCTATAAATGCCTTTTTATTTTCCACTCAACACCAACAGAAATATGCTAGGCACATAAATTAGTTTTCTTACCTCTCACTTTAAGCAGTTAAACATCCATGTTTCCTCCAGAGGGCAAAGCTTCAGTTCTGGGTGGCTGCTCTCAATAAAGTGGTTTAGAGTAACGAAATATTGCCCTGGTCTCGACCGAAGGCCAGCCGTAACAGCAGTCGAGTTCTGAGTGGCCTGCACTGCTCTGCAGGCTAATCTAAACTGAGCGCTGGTCTGCTGAAAACAGAACATAGCCACATACTTCCTCTGGTAAAATGAGGAAGAGTTTCCTAACTATCTCTTCCTTCATCCCCTCAACGTGCACCCACCGAAATGATTACAAATTCTTAATGCATATAATACAGGACAGCGAATCATTATTTAATGCAAATAAGCACACTCTGCAATGTTTAAGTTGAAGTTAAAATATGTGATTTCTGTGTGCTCCGTATAGTGTGCTCAAATGGGTGTTGTGCAACTTCCTGTGTATGGCATTAGTGGGTGAAGGTCTGGGTGTGAGTGCTTCTACATGTGTGAGTCTCAGAAGCATAACGCCTATATCTAGACATTAAAAGGCCATTAAGGACACGAAATGTAATCTAGTGCAAAACATTAGGCTTTCAAATGTTTTTGTTATCTTTGTAATTTAAGTTTTTTTTACAACCCCAGATCCACCTAAATGATTTACTATGAAAAGTGCCTTCACAACTGAGAATTGTTTATCATTTATCCTTCAAATGAGAGGCCATTGAATACATTTTCAGACAGCCAGAGAAAAAGGAAGTGTGACTGTCTATGCATTATTATTTATGCACTTCCATGTGCTACTTATACATGTGAAAAATCAACAATACACAATCATCTTTATGTTCCGTTGTGGATCAAACCTCATAGATTTATGCCTCTGGAGAAATATTATCCATTTATCAAGACTTACAGCTGATACAAACTGCAAAATGCTTAAAAGTGGGTATTTATTTTATTACCTTGGGTTAAAATCTCCACTGTATCAACCAGTTGTATGCTTTGGACTGCAAAATGAATAAAATAATGTGACCGATATCTGGGATTTCTTATTTCTGATTGTCCCTTGTGCAGCCCTCTGAATATTCACCTGACTAGTTCGATCCAAGTACCTCATTTTCTCTGGGTCTGAGGCTTTAACTTCTCTTATTTGTGCTTTCATAACTTTGTTACTAAATGCACTTCCATGGTACATTAAATAACTTGAGTTAAATACGTTAATATTTTTCCACTATATATATATATTTTTTTTTTTTTATATTTTTTTTTAAGTGAACTGAATACTTGATGCAAAATTAGAATTTTAGTCAGGTCACATTCATTACTGACAATGCAGTCATCAAAGTTTTAAATTAACCATAACAGATCAGGGGAACTGGCCTGAAGAACTGATGTGAGCTGGGTTGACAAGCCTAAAAAAGACATTTTCATTGAATTACATTTGTGAATAGATATGATACCAGAAGTATCTGTTTATATATTCATTGTATGCATTGATGCAATTTTCTTCTAGAAACAAACTTTGTTGTATTATTTTCATGTTATCACTGTGAAGCTGCTTTGATACAATCTGTATTGTAAAAAGCGCTATATAAATAAAGGTATAGTCAACGTTATACCGTTATAGTCATCTTTGCAGTAGACGTTATACGTCATTAGCCAACGTTTTATCATTATAGTCAACGTCATAGTTAGCGTTATATCGTTAGTCATCGTTACAGTGAACGTTATACTCATCATTATTTCATTAGTTAACATTATATCGTTAAAGCTGCAGTCCGTAGCTTTTTCCCTTTTTGTCGCCATCTCTGTTCGAAATCTGTAACTGCAGTGATTCGCGGAATTATCATCTTTACGTGGGTTGTAAATCGGCATGAAACAGCGCGGATGAACACAGTGTTTTGAGGCGAGTGCTGCTGTCAATCACCGCGCTGTGGAAAATGTCTTCTGAACAAGTAAGTAACATCCATTTTTGTTCTGATCAACTAAGGGGGGAAAAGCATTCGACATGACAAGCGATCGTTAGATTTAATCAGCGCGATTTACAGCAACCGTGCAAATCATAGCCTACTTTGTTCTCAAATTGTTCATGTTAACAACATCAGCATTGCGTGACTGACGTTATTTAATGTGTTTTATGATTACCTGTGTAGTTCAGAATTCATATTCTCCATAATAGCTAAACGAGAAAGGCACAACAAAGGAAACTCCATAACTGTGTGAATTAAGAAAACGTACTGTTACACGATTGAACTATTGAAATGTCTTACTTGTTCAGCAGAAAAAGCTGTCTCTTCTTCCGTTTCGAACCCCTTCGGGAGTTTACGGACCTTTCAAAATCCCCACCGATGTGTATCCTTGTGTTCGCATGAGACGGTTTCTTTCTCTTTCCACCTTAAATCCGAAGTACGAAGTCTTTTGGGTTTTATAACTGGTTAATCTCCAGTTGACACTGATGATTGTTGTCGGGATCTTTCTGGATCCGCCATAAGTTTAATTATGTAAAGTGCTGCGAGAAAAGCCTATACATCTCTACATCTCCTCACGCGCAGCAGTATAGCCGGCTAGCCGAAACTCCTTCTTTATGTGTACGGGTGTGACGTAATGACGCAAAGACATGCTCGAATTTCCCGCGAAAACCCACCAGTACCACTGGAATTAAAATCATTATTACAAGCTAACCGTTTTGAATCTAGCTATGGCAAGCAGATAGTTTTGAACACTGGCTGAAGATGTTTTTTTTTAAATAATTAATTTGGATTATTTTTAACTTAAAAAAGTTACGGACAGCAGCTTTAAAGTCATTTTTATAGTGAACTTTATATCGTTAGTCATCATTACAGTCAACGTTTTACTAATCGTTATATTGTTAGTCAACATTTTATCATAGTCAACTTTATAACGTAATAGGCATTGTTATATCATTAGTCGTTGTTACAGTGAACGTTATACTCATCATAATATCTTTAGTCAACAATATATAATATAACATATCTGACTGATCTAAGCTGCATTTCACAAAAGCAGCATGAGCCCAAGTTGACCATTTCTTTATTTTAGACATCATTTGTGCCGATTGCTGCTTGCGATTTTGTGGAAAACTGATATTATGTCCTGTGATGTTTTAACAGAATAAAGCTCAGCTGTGTCTCTCTTTTCTAAAGCTCTCATAAAGCATCATAATTGGATGAGCAAAAAAGGATTACAAAGTTCAGCTCACGTGGAGACAAGTTAATTAATTCACATGGTTTGCTTCATTGCTTTTCTTTATGCTCAACATGATTATTTAAACCCTAAAAATTCACGTCGAAAGCTTAGTTGTGGCTTGCATGTTAATGTCTTTTTCCATTGAAAAATATTTCTCTCAAATGCACTTTTTACTTTTTGACAGGCAATTGGAGTCAAGAATGTTCGGAGTGATCTTCTTAGTCTGGGAAAGCCATCAGTGCTGTTCTTCTGATCAACTGCATATTATCCGCTCGCTTCTCACCCCTTCTCAACTTGATTTATTGCCAAAAGCTATAGACAAGCTAATGCCAATACCACAAATATGGCTCTCTATTTAATCACAGCAGTGACACATTTTGCTAGATCACATTTTCATTTGCATTCTTATCTTTAAACAGTTCACACAACTCAGACCTGTCAAATAAACCTGTTGTGTCTATGAAAGCACCTTCTATTATTTTAAAAACAATACATATTCTCCTGTATGTGATTCAAATGGTCTTCTTTATTTTCAATGCAGTGTTGGAGAGTACCTATAACTAAAAGCATTTTTAATGGCAATCACGTTTGCAAAGCAGTGCAAGATTTCATCTGAGGGTATGCACAGAGTGGGAATTTCATTTTTAATAATTCAACTCTGAGAGAAGGTGTAATTTTCTTGAGTAGGCCTATGTCTAGCATTATTACGGGTGAATTCCGGTTAATTGATAAAAAAGTGTCCCAATCAATCTGAATTCACTATGTAGACTAGAGACTCTTCAGATCAAATGATCAGTGAGAGCAAAGGTACATCTGAGTCTCTAGACACGTTTAAACATTTTAAAACATGGAAAACGGGAAAAAGCAACACAATAGCCTTTTATCGCACTTCCACGTTCGAAAAGCGGAAGCTTCAAATAGGAGCGTAAAAAATATTCCACTGCAGGCTTTATCAATGGCTGTGCTCATAGTACGGGATTGTTATGATTTATTTATGTAAAATTCAGCACAGATACTTCTTCTAAAGACACCAACCTCAAATTTAGAATCCTTAATTAAGTATTGTGAAAAAAAAAACAAGCAGAGAAAAGAAGAAGCAGAAACAAACAATAGCATGTGAGCAGATGCATATGTAAAATAACGTGATCATCAAACAGCATATAAATAAAAACTGCCTAATGTTACAGAATGAAATGTCGACCCAGGACGAGCTATAGGATTGTAAAGCTTTAGGGTGTTGATGGACTCGATCTGCTCCATCTATGTCTTTGATCATCGGTCTGATCTGGATGTAGCCTTTGACAAGCGTTTTTTTCAGCTTTTTCATTCAAGTGTTAAAAAAAGAGATTATATTAAGCTACAATTAATCAGGGTTTTTTGTTTAAAAGCGGAGGCTCTGTTCTTTCTTTTCATCATGTTCAGATATTCATACAACAAAATATTCTGGGACAATGAAAATTTTGTGAAAATGCTCAAAAAAGCTGGCAGTGGCTGGCAACTTTAAAAAAAAAATTAAATGCAATGATTGGATAGCATTATGCTGTAGACAAAAATGGGTGGTTAATCATAATAAATATAATGCAAAAATAAACAAATTGATATTAAAAATATAATTAAAGCACTGGCAGTAAGAGCTGCGTGCTGCTTGTTAATCTCATGACTGATCTCATCGCATCTCTCGACAATCGCATCTCTCAGATAATGTTACACATTATAATGAAAGATGACATAACAGTAGAGTATCGTGCAAGTCTAAATAAACCGTTTTAAATATTTACGTTTATTGTTGAGTTCAACTAAATGAGTGGAATTTTCTACTCTAGCATCCACCCACAGGAATGCAAGCAGAAATTCTTTACGACACGCGGTAAAGGCCTACGGTCAAAGACATCCATTTATAGCATTTTCACATAGAAAAACAACTAATAGTATGAGGACACAAAAACACTTCTGGTGTGAATGGCAAATCTATTCAGCCCACCTGTTTGGTTCTTATAAGAACCTTTCAGTAAACAGTTTGTAAA